CTAGCGCCATCATAAGGTCAAAATCTTAATTTGTCCAATAATGTCAGTCTCTTCTATACTTTGCATACCTAAACATCAGCATGTCAGCATTGTCACTGTGAGCATGTTGTTAGCATTTAGTTGTGCCGAAGCCTCATAGAGCTGCTAGATTACAATGTCCATATACTGTAAAAGCTATCATGACATTATAATAATGTGCTTTCTACCCCCCCTGCGGCGCACATCCACGATTGTAAGTGGGAAACCTGTCTATAATCACCATAGAAACTAGAGCTTACATATCATGAAGAAGATGAGGAAGGAAGGTTAGAAAAAATAAAAAGTCATTTAAAATACAGTGTAGTCAGTATCTATATTTAGTATTGCTATTACAGCAAGATACCAGCCTGGATGCCAGCTGGAAGAAACAGAAGGGTTGTAAATGTTGGAAATATATATGTATTTGGTAATTTATCAATTTTAAAACAACAGCTGAACAATAATACAAATATGTGAGCCAACATGGAAAAAAAAGATATTTGTTCTCAAAGATTTACAATGGTGTATTACACAGTAGGAGGTGAATATTTTATTTATATGTTAATTATTAATTATTGAATGCTGAACACACTTCCTCTGATGTAAAAGGAGTTTGCTAAGTTTAATTCATGTTAATGGGATTTGGTTGCATACACTATTTTCTTTTACAGTCACGTACAAAACAGTTTAGAAATACTGGAAAAATAGCAGATATTAGCATCGACTGGGTCGTGAAGAGAGTCCATGCCCGGGGGGAATGTCATTTAGCTCTGTTTAGTTCATTTAGCGCATTTTAGAAAAACAAAATAAATCAAACTCGATCAGGCAAGAGGAAGGAGAAAAGGACGAAAGAGGGGAGAGGAAGGACGGAGGAACTGCAGGACTGCGACAGAGGAGAAGGATCAGAGTTGGACTAATGGGTCAAAAGAAGCCGGACGAGTTTAGGGAGGGATGGAGGGAGGATGGGAGGTGAACGGAGGACGGGGGAGGGAGAGAATGGGCAGAGAGATAGATGTTTAAAACGGGAGGGGGGGGAGAGAGATGGATGGCAGTGGAACAAAGGGGAGCACATCAATCGTTTCTTCAAAGGGAATTCATCTTGTGGGAACGTAAACAAGCTCTGGCACTTTCCTGCATGGGAAAAAAAAAATGCTTAATACAAAAAAACACGCAAATATTAAAACAGATGGTGTTAAAAACAAGCCTTAAAGAAGTAGCTGGTGGTTAAGAAGTGTGTATGTGATCTATCATTCACTGAGGGTCCCTTTACCCTTCACCCAAAAACATTTTGCCTCTGCGCTCGGCTTTTAAGATGTGCTCCAGTCACGGAAAACAATGCATCTTGACAGCCAGTGTTTTTTGTTTGTTGATGTTAAAAGTATTCATAGATTACAGAACTCAGTTTTCCAAGCTCTAGAATTAAATAATATATAATGACTTTAGCTTGAAGTATTGACTATTATTGAATCAAAGTGGTGCATTTTGACTTTTCGCTCAGTAAAATGCTTTAATGAGAATATGGGCGTTATCTTGTTTGGGTTTCAATCCAACAAACAACTTTATGGTAGGAATCAGCCTTGCAAGAAAACCTGATTAGAAATATCTTTTCAAAAGCTTTTTATCGCTTTTAACTTCCATCTTTTAAAGTCACTTAGTGCTGTTAATATTTTGAAGCCTCTATGTGTATTATTTTTTACCCGATTGTCTTTCAATTAATTCTGATGGCATAAGTTTTTGTTTGTAGACAAACAAGGAAATCCTGTTAAAACTTAGCATTAGAGGCGCCCATATGCAAAGCCTGTCACTATCTATTAAAGGCAATAAAAGCCCCCTAAATATATATATAAAAAAACAAAAAAACAACTTAGCATTAGTATATTGCTGTCTGCATCTGTTATATCTTTATTATTCTACCATAACAGACATTACAGTGTTACTGTCCAAGTTAACAAGTGAGATGCCACCAAAGTTATAGCAGATTGTTTATTTCTGCCTTCAACCTAGAATTGTCCATTTCAAGGGTCAGATGGACATGAAACACTCCTGGCTGCATCATTAGTTCATGATGTGAGAAACTGTATTAGAAAAATCTTGTTCTTTGAACAAAAACAGTCAAACCAGTGCACAAAAAGCCCACAAACAAACTCCTACAGTGCACTCAGGTATGAAAAAGATGATCACCAAGCTTAAGCAGGCTGAAAAACAATGTTTTGCCGCCCTCGCTGGTAGAAGGTTGAAGAAAAAAAACATGATTTCTCAGGAATCTTGTGTTTCAATGCTCAATAAATTGGGGATATTTTAAGGAAACGGTTGAAATGAGGCTATTCTCCCTTCATATGTCCATATGTATTTAAACTGGAAATGTCACAGTGACTGTTTGCTTTGCCGAAGCTAAAGACAGAAAAGCTTCTCCACCATTACAGCATGCAAAATTATTCTATTTGAATGAGCAGTCAAATGTCAATCCAGACATAATAAGGATGTTTAGTTCCAATCCGTTGCTTTTTTTATTCCTCTCACATGCTTTGAAAGTATTTTCCAGGAAAAAAAGACTCCCAGTTCATAAAAACCACAGAGCTTCTGTAAATCTCAATCACTTTAAGTTAAGAAGATTTCCTCTTTACTGCTGTATCTCACTTCTGTGGCTTGCACAGTGTGATTGAGAAAAAAGGCCGACAGGCAACACATCCAGCTTTGCAAAATGAAACATTTCACGCCTAAAAAAATGAAATTTTCCAATTATTCCCGGGAGGTGAGAATGGGGAAAATGTGGAAACTTGACAGTTGTCCAACTTGAGATTGGAGCTGGCTGGGGAAATTAAATGGACAGGCGTGACACTCAGCTCCGACCCTGCTGGGCCCGACTCATGAAAATAAGATTTTCTCTAAATTAGTTTGAGGGAGAGAGGGATTGTGTGTGTGTCAGTGTGTGTGTGTGTGTGCAGCCTGTGTGCCTGCTTAATGAGTAAGTAAGGATTATCATTTAAATGCATGTCAGTTTTCAATGTGATTACCCTGCAACCTTCCAGTTACCTTGTCTAAATTGGCTAATTAAGTGTGTATGTGTGTGTGTGTCATTAGAGTGTGTATTTTAGCACATAATGAGTGTGTGGCCTCCGACCCAGGACTGGTATAATTGTGTGTGGACTAAAGTTCATTGTGTGTGTGCTGACCTGCAGCGAAAAGCATGAAGGCGACGGGTGCGTAGAATCGCCGCCTCGTGCCGATGCACACTGCAACCAGAGCGACCAGGAATGACATCAGCACCAGGGCTCCACCCCCTAGCAACAGGGCCAACGTAGCAACCTGCCAGTCTGGAATGGGAAGGAGGGAGGAGAAGAGATGAGGGAGGAAGGTGGACAGAGAAAGTGGCAAGACGAAAGTGAGCACGAGAAAGCAACATACATACAACATGTTGCATAAAAACATTTAGAGAACATTCATGAATAAATGCATACCAGAGCTAGAAATGAATTGCATGAGACCTTGAGGGTGGCCTGGGAGGAGAGACTGAGCCACAGGAGACTTATTATTTTATTTGACATTTTATATTCACCATTAAGTATGTTGATTAGAGGGAGAACGTGGGCGGGGGTGAGGACAGAAGGAGGGTAGGTATAAAAATTGAAGGCATGGACATTGAAATAAAAGAGAGACAATATGGTGAAAGAAGGAGGGAAGGAAGAAGAAGAGCGCAGGTACATGGAAGAAAGGGCGGGATGGGATGAGGGATGAAGAGGGAAACAAAGGAGAGATGCAACGAGGAAAAACTGGTGAAATTAAGGAGGCGTGAATACACAAAAGCGGGAAATGGAGGAAGAAAAGGAAGGAAGGAATGGAAAAGAGGATGGAAAGTGAAAGGAGAGAGGATGGGATGAATTGAAGGATGGAGAAGGGATGAAGCGAGGCAGGGGGACAGGAGGACAAAGATGGATGGGTGGAAAGGGAGGAGAAAGTTAAGAGAAAAGGAGAAAGATGGGATGAAGAAGGTATAAAATAAAGGCTGTGGAAAGGAAGAAGCAAGGAAAGATATGGTAAAGAAAAGGAGGAACAAAGAAAGAGGAAGGAGGGAAGACAAGGGATGGGAAGAAGCAGTGGATCCAGGAAGGAAAGAATACTGAAAGGTAGAAAAACATGAATGAAAAGGAAAGAGGGAACACATGAAAGAGCAAAGAAGGAACAAATGAACGTGCGTAAGGACCACAAAAAAACAAAGGGAATCGAGGAACAAAGGGAAACTGAGGGGAAAAAAGGGAGAGACGAGTTAAACTGAGATGAAGAGAGGGTTGGTGGCGAGGAGGCGGCGAGCGTCTCCGAGAGGGTGATGTGCGATAAAAGAGGGGAAACGTGCAAGTGGAGAGGCACAGGCATAATGTTACAAGGACAGAGAGAGGGCAGCGTGAAAAGTAATGCCAAAGGAGGAGGAGAGGAGGAGGAGATGTGGGGGTTGAAAGTAGAAGGGAGAGGAGGAAGAGGAGAAGGAGTTGAGGAGGGCGTGAAGGGGCTGGGGACAGAGCAGCGCTGAGTGAAAGTAATGAAGAGAGAGAGCACTTAGTATACCTGAGCTGACAAAAAGCCTTGGCTAAAAAGCCTGGCTGGCATGTTATCAAAAACCTGTCTGCATTTATACTTAGGGAGCACCCTGACGCACTCTGAAATAGCACACGCAGATACATGGTCACATGCAAAGACACACCCTAAACTTGGTGCCATATATCACATCAAACGGCTGCAGACACGGTCGATAAAAAGACTTGACATATTTGGACAGAAAAAACTGAAGCGAAGAGTTGAAAATGCTTCAATTTGAGCGAAACGTTGTGACATATCCCGCGGGTTGAGGAAGCTAGCCTTACTTAAGCACACAGAAGGGGAAAAAAGGGAAAAAGAGACACTATTTTGTTATTTCAGGAGTTATTGAAGGTGGAAAACAGCTGTCCTGTCCCGCAAACCTGCATCCTGTCAGTTTGCATGATTTATTCAAAAGGGTTATCTTCTTTTTCTAGCTTATGGTGGCTAATGTTAGCAAACTTAAGATACATGTTGCTGTGTAACTGTTATTAAAGACGTCAGTTTGCTCTCAACTTGTGCTATTATACGTTTTAGCCTGCCACAAATAGACATTTCAATGAATCAAGAGAAATTAAACCTGCCATTAGCCTGCAATCGCTGCTTGTGGCCACAGTGGTCACTGTTGAGCAATCATTACATTAGACTCTTTGTCCCCTCAGAGGTCAGCGCTGTCAGTTAGTGTGTCAAAGTTCACTTCTTGATTTCTGTGTGAAAAAAATCTCATGCAGATCCGCTGTGAGAAAATCCATTGACCATGTCAATTTCCACTGGAATGGATGGATTTCACTGCGTAATTTCTCAATTTTATATGCTGGTGTGACCACGCACGTACACACACGCACACCTGGTCCTGTGATCCATCTGGGCTCGGAGGGAGAAAAGAGATTTGACCATTTTCTCTAACCTTTCCTTCCATCTGTCTGCCTTCACACTGTGATCAGATGTGATGTTGTCAAATTGGCCGAGCTCCTGTAAGCTGCTATAAAAACCTATTTCTGTACTAAACTAGTAAGTGCTATGTTACAAATAAAATATATAAAATAATCTGTATTCCTTGAGGACATACAGAAGCTCTTAAAAAGACAAACTTCAAACTGAAAGCTCTGGATAAAAAACATCAATGAACCGTATCTGATGCCGAAATGTAACTGTCAGTACAGATGCAAAACCAATGCACACTAGTTGACATCAGCAGTATACTGCCAGGCTATCCAAGTGAATTAATTTTTTTATTTTCCAGCTATTTAAGGTGGGTAAATACAGCCGGTGCCTACATTTACTAGCGTGGTAAAAAAAGCTTATGAAAGATGGATGGTGGAGGGGGAGAGATAAGGGAAGATGAGAGATTTAGAGGCAGAGGGAGGGAAAGAGAGATGGAGATAGAGGTTGAAAGATGAGATGCAGAGGTGGTTAGTGGGAGGCAGAGAGGGACGGAGGAAATTAAAGATGAGAGAGCAGGAAGAAGAGAGGAGAGATAGATCTTTGGTACAATCAGAAGCATCTTGTAACACGAATGCAAAGCAACAAAATCAAGTGCAGGTCGTTTTCTGGTCAAACGCCTATTCAGCTTTATTAAAATGCTTCCTGGCAGCAAGGTATACACGAAAGCCCACTAAATAGTTTCTAGCCTTTGACTCTGATCTGCCTGAGTGGCTTTGTGCGCACATGTTTGAGTCTGTTTGCTTTATATTTTAGTTCAGCAAGAGCAACAACACTGAGGCATTTCTGTTGCCCCCCTGGGTGTTGCCCAAAAAGGTAGCCCCGTATAAGAAATGCAACAAGGTACACAGGAGTGGAGTGAGGGATGAGAGACGTTGAGGGTTAAAAACAAGGCTCAAGTGTTTTATCATTCATTCATATTTTACACCCCTAAAAGCACAGATCGGGTTTTGCTCTGTGGAAGCAGCCACGACCAATCAAAAGTCAGCATGAAACGGAAAGGCTTCAAATAACCAATCAGAAGTGAAAATAAATGTCAGTCTCAGCCGTAGTTCAATGGGAATCACATCTCTCTCTCTCTCTCTTTCGCTCTCTCTCCCTCAGACTGACCCATACACACATATTTCTCACCAGAGTAGATTGAACTTTTGTAAATGTGTGCTCTATCAGTATGGAGAGGGATTTTGGTATGTGCAAATGAAGCGTATGCTGTATTTAGACTATTTTCACTTCTTTACCTTGCAGTCAGACTGCCATTTCTGATGGGAAACTGAAGCAAGACTGTATGTAACTAACCCTAACCCTAACCCTATGTATGTAACAGTAAGCCCTGTTTTGGAACTCATGTACAAATGATCGTAACTAACACGTTTACTGTAGAATCACTGCACAGATGGAGTCATATGCCATCAGAGATTCACATGATAACATGAGAACAGGAACTGTTGTGAAGCTACAAAAAGTAAAATAATTTAACTGATAAGTAACCACTGAATCATTATTTTTATTTTTATATAGCTTTTTGTTTTGGAGTAACTACTGCAGTAACTTACACTCTCTAGAGACACAACTGTTGCAAATGTCTCGCTCCCTCTTTCTCTATCTCTCTCATTGAGACACCGACACACACACACTAGCTTTAACTGTACAACTATCTTTGCTGTTTTATCTTTGATGTGCATACAATATGCAAAGCCCTCTCTTCAGATTTATTTTCATACACACTTTGGTATATGTAGCTTGCAAATTAGTGCTTACCACTTTTTCACACACAGACACACACTGTTCTGTGTTGTGAGAAATACCTCTTGCTGTAATGTGACCGTGTGCCATGTGACAGGATTACTACACTGTCACATTTTTTCTATTCAGCGAAGTCACTCCAAGCTGTCTTGCTGATTAACCACTGTAGTACTTTAGGTCCCTGCATCCAGAAAAAGAAACCATCAGTCCTGAAGCTGCAAATGTAAAATCAAGAGTATGCACATGACATTGAAGGCTGCTTTAGTCCTCAAAGCTCAGAAACAACCCATTACCAACAGATACCTCTGAATCAAAGACATTAAAGGGTTGGGTCATTGCTCATGTGCCATGAGCCAAAATAAATAAAAATGAAAGGCTCAGAATTGGCTGCTGACAAAAGCAGAGCTTCAGGGTACTGTAAGGGCGCACAACTGCCAGAAGAAATAAATAAACGATAAAACAATCCAGAGATCTGTGCTAATTGTGGATGTAGAAGTGCCCTTTATGCTTTTCAGTGGATTATGTTCACTTGTATTTCTCTCCGCTCAGATCAACTTGTTAGCAGAGGGTCACACCAAGAAAATCCTACGTGATTTTGGCAGAGCTGGCAAAGTGTGGAGACCTTCATGAATTACTGCAATAAGATATAACATGACTGACTTTTCTGAGCTTTCGTGCACACAGCTCCTGAGATTCACTGATTATACAGTGGGATCCTCTGAAGTTCCACAACTCTCCAAATGCAAAAAAAACATGCTAGTGTCATAGCTGCAGGAATGGCAATGTCTGTCAATCCACCACTTTGGACATATCGCCACAACTATTGAAATGATTGTTATGAAATTGTCATTTAGATTAGATTACATTAGAGTTTATTAAAAGTCAAATAAACAGCTTTAGTTAGCTTAGTGATTTCAACCAACCATCCAAAACCCAAAGTAATTCAGTTTACTGTGTCAAAAGTGTTGCTGATTGCAGATGATCCACTAATCAATTAATCGTTTCAGCTCCAAAATAAACTTCACAATGTAGACAAATTGAAAATAATCAGCTTAAATTC